ATGATATGTGTTCTGCGCTGGTTTTTGGCGCGACTGCGTGATGTATGGCAACCCTGTTGACCTTGAAAAATCTTTCGCTGGAGCTTGTTGGTTCGCGAAGATGGGGGGGGAGATAAAATTGTGGAAGTTGTTGAATTGAAGTTCGGCAAAAGGAAATATCGTGGCCATCCTGTTGAGGGGCAGTAGGTATTTGGAGGTGTGGAAAGAGGGTCTGGGAGATTATTTTTAGTGGCTGTGCATGATAGAAGAAGGGATTTGTGATTTTATTTATTTGTGAACCATAGTATGAATTTTCTGGATAGTGTGCCTGGGTGTCATATAAATACAAAAGTGATTACGTGGCGACATATTATAGGCAGTATGAAATTGGTATTTCTGCTGTTCGAAAAAGCATTAATTCATGGTAAGTGCATTTTATTTTATTCTTGCTCTTATTTTGTAGAATGTTATGTTCATTGTTTTTTTTAGTATGAATTTCTGTTGTTATTTTTTTTTTAATTGTTTGAAATTTTAGTTATTTTAGTTTATTTTATTGATTAGTACGTAGCACTTAGATTGTGCAATTCGTAGATGTTTTTTAAAGTTGAAATAGAATGCTGTGTACATGGTATTGTTTGAAATTTATTGTTGCTATGTTAATTTATTAAAGCGTGGTGTGCGTAGTTCGTAGATTCGTTTGTTGCCTAGATTGTGCAATTCATAGATGTTTTTTTAAGTTTAAACAGGATGCTGTGTACATGGTATTCTTTCAAATTTATTGTTGTTATGTTAATTTATTAAAGCGAGGTGTGAGTAGTTCGTAGATTCGTTCATTGCCTAGATTGTGCCATTCGTAGATTTTTTTTTTAAGTTAAAACATATTGCTGTGTACATGGATTCTTGTCAAATATTTTTGGTTAGAAACTTTACGTTTTTGCTATCTACATTTTTTGTTTTTGTTTCAGATTTTTAGCTTAAATTGTGTGTTCAAAATAGACATTTTAGGCTTAAAGTTCGAAATGTAGACAAAAAATTTAGATAGTAATATGGCAGCGTGGAGTTTCTCACATATCAGAGTAGTTCCATAAAATTTTTCATCATTAGCAAGTGAACTGTTTATTTCCATTTGAAGTGTCTAAAGATGTGTGTGTTTATATATATATATATAGAGAGAGAGAGAGAGAGAGACTATTTCTTACAAGCATATTTAATTTAAGACATGCATATTACATGCATATTTAATTTAAGACAAGTCTTAAATTAAATATGCATGGATTAAAGCCACAGTCTAAGTTTCGAAGGTAATATATAAATGAAAATTGAAAGAAGTAGAAATAAAAATTCCAGATTTACAAATCAGCATTCAGTGGTAATACTAAATCACATGAAACTAAAGTAGCAATTTTATTGCATATTATTGGTGAAAAGGTGCTTGAAAATTTTAATACTTTTAATTTAAATGAAAGAGATAAGAAAGATGTAGACAAAGTAATTGAAGCTTTCGAAAATTACTGTTTACTAAAAGCCAATGACAGTCTTGATGGGCTTATATTTTTTTCTCAAATGCAACTGAATAAAATTAAAGAAATTAAGTAGAAACAGGGGATTTGCAGAATTAAAAGATAATTTAATCAGAGATAAAACAGGATGTGGGATTTTAGATTAAAATCTTAAAGACAGGCTATTAAGAGAAGATCAGTTAACATTGGATAAATAAATGTATTGAAATGTGTAAAGCTGCTGAATTAGTAAAAATTTAGCTGAAAACTTCAACTGAAGAAAATAAGTAGAAGTGATAAAACAGAACAAAATTCACCTTCAGAAAAATAAAGTCGGCCGTGTAAGAAAAAATAACATATGATACTAAAACAACACAACACAAAATCATCTTCAAACTCTCAAGGAAATTAATTTGATATTCCAAACCCATGTAAAGTATCTAGAACTTTTTACAAGTTACACAAGTATTCTGCTTGTAATAAGATTTACTTATACTGTAAAAAGAAAAATCACTTTTCTAAAATGTGCATTAAAAAAAGTGTTAATATTGTACAGAATAATTTACAGCATGAGTTGCATTACAATGATAATGAATATATGTTAGGATAAGTATCTATTTTCTAAAAATAGAGCAAAATGAAGAATTTTTGTAGATGATTTGAAAATGATTTTAAATGATTTGGTATAATGATTTCAAAAACAAAAAGTAAACATACCTAAATACTTATTTGTTAAGTTGGATACTGGTACTCAATGTAATATATTACCATTGCCTAAATTCTCAAATTAAATTTAAACGATAAATATTTGACTTAATCAAACATAAGGTTAAATAATTACAATGACTCTAAAAGTGATTTAGTTGGAAAACGTAAGTTCTTATGTGAGACATCTAAAGGTGATAAAGATGAAGTCTAATTTATAGTAGCATGTGATAAAATTGTTCCAGCTATTTTAGTTTTGCAAAATATTACAAAAATTAAATCTAGTACAAAGGATGTGCACAATAAATCCTGAATCAAAAGAAAAGTTACCGAATCTTTGAATAGATATCAAAACTTATTTAAAGAAAATAAGATTTGAAATGGTTATACTCATCACATTATATTAAAAAACAAAAGCTGTTGGTAAAATAAAGCCATGTAAGAAAATTCCACTAAAAAAGGAACTGGCAAGAATATAAAAAGTGGGTTAGAGTAGATTTAAAGGTGCCCCAGGCTAAGCTGTTGTTTCATTTATCACCAAGTTGTTTCATTTATGGTAATTAAGTCGCTGAATGTTATGGAAACCCTATTATGACGTAATTGGTTGCATGACTGTGGTGAATTTTAATGATGGGGAAAAGATTTGTAAGGGTTCGTGTGTATGTTGGTTAGTAAGTCTTTTGGTTATTTTGTGTTTTACACTGTAAAATGGCTGAATGTGGTAAGATTAATTTGAATTTCTGTACGATTTGGAATGAAAGGGAAAACAGTATTAATTGACTGGAGTGTAAATGAAGGTTTACTTAGTAGCCATTATAACTGTCCTGTGGAAGGAAATGTGAATGGTCGAATGTCGGAGGATACTGGAACTATGCAGAATATTTTTTACTCTTATTTTTGTAAATTTATGTGGCAATGCCATGCAGATTCTAGTTCAGATAATTTTAGGAAGTTTTTGGATGCTGTTAAGGAATTTCGTTTGAATGAAGACACGTAAATTTTTAAATAAGGTTAAGTGGATATTTCGCTTGTGTAGCGCTAAGATGAATTTTTTTTTAATGTTATTTCATTGTTTGATTTAAAATGTAGTTTATTGAGATTATATATATTTTGTTGGCTGCTCCTTTGACTTTTTAAGTGAATATAGATCGATTTGTACATGGGCACAGTCAATGGAGTGAGCAATGCCTAGCTTGTACAATTCTCTGATGTTTTTTTAAAGTGAAATTAGGTTGAGTGTACATGGATACCGAGTTTCTGCAATTCTTTGACTTGTTATTTTGGATCTGTGTATCAATCTACAGAATTGAGTTCTAGTTGTAGTAAGAAAATAGGATGGTAATTTAAGAGTATATTTAGATCCTCAGTACCTTAACCAAAATATACTGAGAGAACATTACCACATACTAAACTCTGAAGAAATTTTATGTCAAATGCAAAGGTGTTTAGTATTTTTAATGACAAGAAAGCATTTTGGTAAATTTAAATATCAGATTTAATTTGTGAACTTACTACATTTAAAGTTCATTTCACAGATATTGTTTTTTAAGGTTGCCATATGAAATGTGTTCAGCACCAGAAGTTTTTCTGAAATTTTTATTGATATAGGAGTTCAAATGCACACAGATGACTTATTAATTTAGGGAAAGATAAAAACGAACAAGATTTAAGATAAGAAAAAAAAAGGTGCTAGAAAGAGACAGTGTGTGTGTGTGATTATGGCAAAGCCTCGAGGGCTATCTGCCTAAGGGGAGGGATGCCTTCATTGAGGACTTTCTAAGGGAAACTGGCTCGTATACATGTTACACATGGGGAAAACCACGAAAACGCCCATGCAGCAGTCCGTTCGCGGGATTCGAATCTCGGACCGAACTACCAGTGTTCAGCGATTTTACCGCTCAGCCGCTGGTGGGCTCTAGAAAGAGACAGAGAAATTAATGTTAAATTTAATTTAAATATATGTAACACTGGGGAGTTAGAAAGTCAAATACATTGGACACATATTATCTAAAGATGGTTTAAAACCAGATGAAGACAAAACTAAAGCTATTTTAGATATAAAATCATCAAAAAATGTCAAGAAATTAGAAACTTTCCTAGAAATGATTACTTATATTTTTCGATTTATACCTAATGTATCAGAAATGACATCATGTTTAATAGATTTGTTGGGAAAAAAAAAACAGGTTTTCTGGAACTGGAATGCAATACATGAAAAAGCATGTAGAAGAATAAAACATATCTTTGTAAATAAAACAGTTTTACAGTATTATGATATAAACATGCGAGTAGTTTTATCTGTAGATGCGTCTCAGGAAGGAATAAGAGCCGTCTTACAGCAGAATAATTTACCAGTGGTACGTGCATCTAAAGATTAATAAATACATAGAGGAATTATGCTCAAATTGAAAAGGAAACTTTAGCTACTGTATTCACATGAGAAAAATTTCAACAGTAAATGTTTAGAAAATACATTACAGTTAAAAGTGATCATAAACTGTTGGAATCAGTTTTCAAGAAGCCATTAAATAAATGTCCAGTTAGATTACAAAGAATGCGTACAAGATTATAGCCTTATCAGTTAAAACATAAACTAAAACAAGAACTTTTCATAGTTTTCATAGAACTTTTCATTTAAGAATTTTTGTGCTATTGTACCTAGAAATTTATGAAAAGATATGATAAGTAGAATTCATTATGGTGATTTAAGAGTAGAAAAGGTAAAGGTACATTTTAGTGTAACCCTTGGCGAAATTTGGAGATTTTTGGCGGTACATGGATACCGAGTTTGTGCAAAACACACCCTAAAACACTTACCTTTTTCTTGTGTTTTTCAGGAAAATCATGATGTTTCTTAAACTTTAACTCATTCATATTTACACCACACAACCAAAAAACCAAACAAGTACCGCCGGAAACGATAGACGTCTTGTTTTGCACTAGCGTAAAAAAGTAAAAACACGGCTGTGTCTACCCGTACGACGTCGGACGGCTAGCTCAAACATGGAAATAATGCTAAACGCACGACTAGTTGCGCAGAAACACCTTCGTGATTTCTGCGCATTCCGACCCGTCGTGAAGAGATGTTTGTTTACATTTGTGTTGATTATCGGAAGGGTGAATTGGGATAAGGTTCGGAGAACAGCCTTGGCCAACTTGGCTCCTTTAAGGATACGGGCGACATTTCATTATGCCAACGGAAGTAAATATCATCTGGGGAATAGGTGCTAAGGAGAAAAGGAAAATACATGGGGAAAAACGGGATTATGATGTTTATATTTGTTTGGTATCTTATTGCTAATTTTGTTCTGTTATGTTGCTAAATTAGCATTAAAAGTCGAATAATGTGCGTCTATTGCGAAAACGCAGGGCAATTACTTTTCGGTCCGATTTTATATATGTATTAATATATCACATTCCTGCTCATATGATCTACATATGTATCAGATAACTAGCTACTTTTGACACTTATTTTTGGATGTGTATTATTTTATAACTTTTTCTGCTTTGAAAACCCGAGTATTGAAACATTATGTGTATGCTTGTGAAAATATTATTTCAAATATTCTCGTATAACTAACTATATTATAATCTCATATTATTCAGTTCTCATATACTACGATAGAAATATGCTTCTGTTATTTACTTTAAAAATGAAGTATTTAATAGCCTTCCACATAGTAGCCATTCTAGAATTAGTTATGTAAAATGCTAATTTCCTTATGCATTATTTTGTCTAAATATTCATTTTCATAAAGAATATATAATGAATGTAGAGAATGCGAGTTCAGTATATTTTAAAGACAGAGATAATACAGAAAAGGGAGACTACACATGCAACCAGATAAAAGTGACCATATTCTAAAGAAAGTTAATAAACTCAAAATGATGTGAAAGTATAGCCCATGCCACAGAATTCGCTTAAGTATTATTTCTGAGTGGTAAAGCAGAACATATATATCTGAGTGCATTTCTTATATCTAAAATAAAATCTGTTATTAGTTGCTGAGGAAAAAGTAAGAAAACATTTTTTTATGGATAGAAATATTTGTAGCTGAGTATTGAAAGTCTGATACTTCATCGACACTGAAATAGCAATTTATATAGTGTATGAAAGTGAAAAAAAAAGTGTTGTTTTTTGAAAACTCCAAAAAAAATTTTTATAATCTTTGCTTTATTTTCTCATATAACAGCATTAGTGCTATGTATTAAACAATTTTTATTGCTTGCATATTGAAATCTTGCTTTCATGTTTGAAATCATACACACTGGAAAGGAATGGAACATAGGGAACACACTGAGATGGCATAAAATCCATAAATGTGATTAACAACTGTATCTGTAATATATACAGCCTACCATGGAATCTGGTGGGTAAGACTGCTGAACATTGATAGTTAGACAAACTCCAAATTATGGTGAACAAATTCTCTCCGTGGATGCTTCCGTGGTTTTCCCTATATATAACATGAACAGAGGCAGTTTTCTTCATAGAAAGTTATCCATGAAGGCATTTTTTTCCTTCATATCTCAGTAGGTAAGACAGCTGAGCACTGATAGTTCAGTCCAAGTTGAATTCCCAGGGAACAGATTGGCTGCATGCATGTTTTCATAGGTTCTCCATTGCATAACATGAGTACAAGACAGTTTCCATCAGAAAGCCCTCCTTAACAGCATTATTCCATCAAGGAATATACACTAGCATACTTTTCCATAACTTAATAAATCCAAATCTCTTTAGGCAGACAGTTTGTGTCTGAAATCTGAACTATAGATGTTAAAGTCTTTTTCCGCATATATATTTAAAAAATACCTCAGAAAATAGAATATTAATTTTTAATGTTTCTTGTATATTGTTAAGTGTATATCTAGAGATTGATAGATAAAAACTATGTAAATCAAGATTCTAATTTAAATTTGTTTTGCCCTTAAATCATCATTTTAATTTAGGTATTTTCAGTTTCTGTACTAAAAATAGTAACTGCTTATAATAAACCTCTCTGGACTGCGTCATTCCTCTATTAATCCATGTCAAGTGACTTCCTACATACACATTTCTAGTAATGTCTGTCTATATAATGCTGTTAATTTTTTGTAAATCGAAACTTAACCAGCCAATATTATTTTAGAGCGCTATTTATCAATCAGTCAAACAACGTCGAAAGTAATTCACTCTGGATTAAGAATTTGTACTGACCACAAAAAAAAAACTATATAAATCATTTTGGATTCTTCCTCCCACTGTACATTTATTTATGTTGCTCATAATTTTTAGCTTTGAAAACTTATTGTACTAACAGCATGTATAAGAATTTTCGGGAATACAGGAGAGGTTGTAAATAAATTTAGGTATATATCACTATGTTTCTGTTAATAATCATTTTTACTATTATTTGAGGACTATTAAGTTTAGAAACACTCTTTAATTTTATGGAAATAAATCTTTTCACATATTCTATCATATAGAAGTTTCATTCATAACATCCCAACTGGAAAAGGCTGTTGTAGGTTAAGTTAATTCGTAAGCACCCGTCCATTCCCGAAAGTACATTCTGTATTGCTAAGTCTTGTTAACTAGTAAGCTGCACCTCAGTGTTTAATGGAAGATGGCCCTGCGGGTGTTCCGAGAGTCTCGCAACTTTTATTCCTCTACTATCAGCTTCTCCAGAGAATTTCGGCTGGCCTTGTATTTTGAATGCTCGCTTGCTTCATGCATGAAGAAAGCATGGATGATTATAAATTTATAATAGCTTCACGTTATAAGCTGACAAACATCCATGCACATGGTGGCTTATAATGTGAAGATATTATAAGTTTACCAATAGCTACGCCTTCTTCCGGATTCGAACCTAGACCCTTCACTACGGCATTCAGCGTCATTAACCATTATACCGCCTGGGCAGCCCTATACATACCAACAGCATAGAAAACCAAATTTATATATAAACAAGTGTTTGGATTTTATTTCTTAAAATACACTATAGGTCGAACTAGGGATCTGGTGGCCTTTTTGCAAGCACGCACTGCTCACTTAACAGAACTGAACCTGAATATGAGATAGATTATGATATAAAGATGCAAATATCGACGGTTCAAAAAATTAGATTTTAGTACAGATTCATAAGAAGATAACAAATACGGTGCTGTTCATTAAAATCTCTATACCAGGAAGCAAAGCAAATAACAGAATCATATTTATCGTATGTATTGTATTTATTAATATATTGCGTTCATAATATGCGTAATTCGGTACACAAAGCTGACACATCTGGCAGCTAGTAACATCTGTAATCGAATCTGTCTGATATCTGAGACCCGACGAAGGAGGCTTACCCGGATATTTACCGGCCTCAGGGCAAATACTCTCGACACACGAGTGCTATTGACGAATGAAGGGTTATTGTAATTGGCTATTTATCGCCGTACTGGTTATTTTTTGTTATCATACTTTTACGTATGTTGTAATTGCCATGTGAATGGGTTTGGGGAAGTTTTTATAAAATATTTACGACTCTTCTCTTTAGTGGTATAGTTTGTAGCAAGAACTTAAGATTATCATTATGCATTAAAACTAATCAGTCTGCTCAAAAAATGCATTAGATATGTGATTTTACTCATGCATTATTTCTTCGTACATACACAAATAGAAATATATATTTCTGGCATATATGTATATAATATTTGGAGTGTGCAGTAGTTTTTAAAATGCATGAAATTTATGAAATCAGATTGAAATATGTGTTATATTTTATTATCTATTTAATGGAGAGATACTTATTTATTACTGATTTAATGGAGAGATACGTTTTATTATATTACGTTTTTATTGTCAAGTGGAGTAATCTTTGAAATATTATAAAAACTGTATAATGGATTGTTTTGCTAAGCAAGTTTTTTTTTCCGAACATTACGCTCTGTTAACTCTTTGTTGAATATGTCCACTGTATTATGAAAAGAAACCTGACATTGTATTAAAAACATATTTCCCTAAAAGATTTAAGGAAGGCAATTATTATTCATTTTCTCAAATATTTGTTTTTATATATATATGTAATGAATGTGGAATATTTATGATTGCAACCTTTGAAATCAATCAAAAATAAATATTTAGGTCAAAAGAATTGTGTATGTAAAAAAACTTGTCCACATGTATATTTTCATGTTAACAGAATTTGTTTTTATATATAATGAACAATTATGTGAGTTCATCAATGCAGAGATTCCTTATTGATTTCTACAATATTTGTCCTTGCAATCGTAAAACTGCATATTTGCAAAAAGTATAGATATATTTTCTTTGAAAATAAAAGTAAGACTGTTAAGTAGTGTCTTAGATATCAATTGTTTTATCTTTATTTAAAAATTAGGGCGTAATCGGCAAATTACTGGAGAAAATTTAGATGACTAAAAACTAAAGAATTTGAATGCAAGAATGTTAGATAATTTTAGATATAGATTTTATTGCTTATTACTATATTTAACTACACTTATTATTGCAGCTTATGTAAAATTTACTGTTTCTGTTTAAAAGGTTGTTCGGGGATACTCAGATAACCGGCACTTGGCGAACTTCCAGAAATCGCGTTCACCTACTTGAGCGATAGGCGCCAAACAGTGGGAGGACAGTTCAGGTTGCAAGTTTAAACCTTCACTCAGCTAGGGAGAAAGGGAAAAGGGAAGGGATATTTTCTTACGCCTTACTTCGGCTGTCATGCGACTCTGCAGATGAATCTTCGTGTTGATCACATGACTTTGTCAGTAGACGTGGTGAATACGCTCATAAGCTGTTTGTTGTATTTTTAGATTACTATTAAAATTATTAATGACTTAAAAATTAAATAATCAATCAAATTAAAAATGTTAATAATTATCAATTAAAATGATTATTTAATTATATTTCATTAATAATTAATAAATTAAATATGATTAATTAATTAGATTTCATTAATAATTAAGAAATTAGATATGATTAATTAATTAGATTTCATTAATAATTAAGAAATTAAATATGATTAATTAATTATATTTCATTAATAATAA